AAGAATTGTTGGAAAATTGATCCTAAGGATCGGTACGACATGAAGCAAGTATTGGCTGCATTAGATTTCATGAAGGAGAACAGCGAAGTTACGGAACAATGTGGTGTCTTTCTAAGACATAAGGCGGGCTGGAAATGCGAAATAGAAAAGCAGCTAAAGCAGTTGGAAGTATGCTTTATTTTATTTTAATTGATACAAGCTTGTTAAAATGTTAGTCTTAAATCACTTACACTTTGATAACTTAATTACATCACCAGAAAAGAAGACAGTAAATCTACACACTTTTTTAGGATAAGAAAATCGACTATGCAAAGAAAATGGAGGAGTTAACTAAGTGGGAGCGAGCTTTAAAACGTCGGGAGGAAAGCCAGCGTGAATTACTGGAAGCAGATCCACTGGTTTTAGATGGTGATGTGACTTTATGGGACGAAAGTCATGTATGCCACTGGATGAGAAAAATTGCTGTCGCATTACGTAAACCTTAAATTCTTTTGATAATTTTCAGCATTTTTGAAATCATTTTAGTATTCTATGATTTTGCCAAGCATTTTTCAGCTTTAAACAGTGAAATGCTGGATCGTCTGGTTGCTTTGATCATTCATCACAACATCAGTGGCAGAAGATTGCTTGATATTACGCCGAGAGATCTTGAATATCTTGGAGTTTGTAATATTGGTCTCCGAGTTAAATTATATAGGTTTCTACTTCAACTTAATCATTCTGTTAATACGTAGACCCAATTTTATGACTTTGAAAGATTTTGGATGTATTAGCTTGTTTTTCACAGGGAGATACAGAACCTACGTAAGGAAAATCACAGGATGAAGAATTTCCCAACCTTAGAAGTTTCACGGCAACAACTTGATCAGCAAAAGGTGCATTTTAGTTTGGCTTTATGTTTGATTGAAGCATTTTTACGGAGATGTATTGCAGAACTGAATAGAGCAGAGCTTTTTCTGAAATAGAAAAGTACTTTTTTTTTCTTATAAATATATGTTTTAGCGAAATGAAAAAACATCGCAGACATTGTGCTTCTCACTAGTTGTTCATGTTACTATGTATACAAGACAGTCAGGATACGATTTCTTACCGAAATTTCGTTATAAAATAGTCGTTGATACAGATTGGGAAGACACATATTTAGTAAGTATTAAAACCAGTAACTTTATTTTATAATGCAAGAGTGGATTATTTATCTAATATGAACACAATGAATTCGAATTGTTTGCAGGGCGACCAAATGCCAGACGATCTTCGAAACGCTCATTCTGTTGTCAAGGATGTTTGTATTTCACTTATTTACGACGACAAGGTTTGTTATTGTGGTCCTTGATAAATTTTTTAAAAGCTGTTTTAAAATATTTTATAGATGTCGTTTTCCAAGAACATTACTTGGCTTTTAATGTGTAGTGA